AACTAAGCAGGAAAAAAATCACTGAATATAGGAAGATTCAAATATTTTTCACAAGCAGGGACAGGAGATATTTTTTCCTCTCTCTAAGAAGCTGCTTAAGGTAGGTGATGCAATCATTTCAAGATGCACAACACATCATTCACCCATCACTGAAGCACTAGGACTCTGAATGAAGTGTTGTAAAACAGATTAATATGAAATGCCAAATCCAAAGCAATGTGGCTTAAACAGTACAGACACTAGATAAGAGGAGGCAGATCAGGTTACAGAATGTGTAGTAAACAGAAGGTACATAAAAGTATGAGATGAAGTACAGTCAAATTCTCGCCCCCCACTTCCCTACGCAGTGCATTTTCATCTTCTCTATCTGCTTTTCTTGCTACAAAGCCTGCCCTTTGTAAAATACTTTCTTCCAACATTTCTGAATATAGTCTAAGAATATGCAATCTGAGATTATCCAATTTCACAGTCAACTTCAATAAATTTCTTTGCCTTGCAAAGGGATGTAATAGTATTCCATAAAGAAAAAAGAATCTCAATTAAAAAATTTTAGCATTGCCAAGAAGCCACTGGCACAATATGTCCATGCAATTTGAGAAAGGCTCATTGGGGGAGGGGGGCGGAACAACAGAAAACCAGCTTACAAAATTATACTAAAGAGTCTATTTAGTCTACTCTATCTAGGCTAGGAAATAGGCTGAATGCTGAGACTGCTCCTTTTGAAACAATATCGTAACTGTTATGAAAGAGCTATTCAAGTACTTCACATGGAAGAATGCAACTACCACTACTTGAAACTAAAATGACCTAAGAATTTTTCCATTTTTCAAAGAGAACTTAGGAAACTCAGGAAAATTTCTCTAAGCTAGCATTTCGTCTAGGAGACCAGAGACTCTTTGGAGAGTCTAGGAGACCAGCTGAATAAATCAATTTTGCAGATATCCAGAAGTAATCATTTCAACACTGACTGATGTGTCACTGAAATTTGTGTTCTCAAAGCCTTCAGGAAGATATTTAAGTCAAATTCTTTGCAAGAGCTTTGGAGACACACAAAAATATCAGCTCTCGTAATCTGAAGCATATTTGTTCATCAAATTACAACAGCCAGATTGTTACTGAACGATTTTCCTTGCCTTAAGATGTTCAGAATATTACAACTGAGGAAATTTTTCTACTCTAGTTGTGTGATTAATTGTCTTCAAGATAAACAGTGAGATTTCACTATTACAAACTATCTGAAACTTAGTTTCCTCTCACTCACCTAGTGTATTATGCAGCACTTTTGTTATATTTGTTATTTCAAATTCTTCAAATTATTCAGCTTGCCCCTGTATTCAGCACTGGTGAGGCCACACCTCAAATACTGTGTCCAGTTTTGGGCCCCTCAGTACAAGAAGGACATTGAGGTGCTGGAGCGTGTCCAGAGAAGGGCAACAAAGCTGGTGAAGGGTCTGGAGCACAGGTCTTATGAGGAGCGGCTGAGGGAACTGGGATTGTTTATCCTGGAGAAGAGGAGGCTGAGGGGAGACCTTATCGCTCTCTACAACTACCTGAAAGGAGGTTGTAGTGAGGTGGCTGTTGGGCTCTTCTCCCAAGTAGCTACTGATAGGATGAGAGGAAATGGGCTCAAGCTGCATCGGGGAGGTTTAGATTGGATATTAGGAAAAATTTCTTCATGGAAAGGGTAGTCAAGCATTGGAAGAGGCTGCCCAGAGAGGTGGTGGAGTCACCATCCCTGGAAGTGTTCAAAAAACAGGTAGATGTGGCACTTTGGGACTTAGTAGGCACGGTGATGTTGGGCTGATGATTGGACTGGTGATCTTAGAGGTCCTTTCCAACCTTAATGAATCCCAGTTTTTACTTTCATTAAAAAAATAATCCAGCCACCAAGCCAGGAAACATGAAGTAATTTATTACTCTACCCTTAAGTGGTTTAGTGGTGGACTTGGTAATGTTAGGTTAATGATTCGACTGGATGATCTTAAAGGTCTTTTCCAACCTAAACGATTCTGTGATTCTATGATTCCAATTCCTGGTTTAAAATAGTACTTATTAAAAAAATTTTAGTACTGTTACTATTGCAGCAGCATCACCTACCATGTACAAAGTGAATCAACAAAAGGATTTAGAAGAAAAACCTATATTCCAAAATAACTATATGGAAGGTTTCTTATGTGCTAGAAAATGAGTTGTAATGAATCATTAAAGAAATGCATCCAAAGTCCAAACTAACTGGTGACACAAGAATTTGTTGTACCTCCAAAGCAGCTCCCAACACTGTTTTTATCATGTGACAAGGTAAACTGACTTTCAGAAGAATAATCAACACAACATACCCAGTCCCTGCAGCAATAAAACAAATTAAACTTGTTTAAAACTAACAAGTTAGGCTAAGTGAGCATCTCTAGATCCTGTTAAAAAAGCTCCTTATCTATTCTTTAAAAAGGTACGTGCATGACAAATATCTGATTCACCCATATGTCACTGCAAATTCTAAAGCTGTGGGGGAAGTGAGTCAAAGAAATATGAATATACAATTCCTATAACCTGAAATGTGAATATTAAATGATGAAGTATTTGTATTGTCTCAACTGCCCTACATCACATGAATGTCAAACCCACTTAGGCATATCTCTCCCTCCCTTAAAGTGAGTAGTTCAGTTTGATGTGTCATCAAAAGCAGAATTAGTAGCGTTCTAAATACGTTTTTTTTTTTAAGAAGAAAGCTTTACATTTATCATTTTCAGATAATAGCTCTGCTATGCAATAAAAAGCTTATAGGAATCTCAGCTGTGGCACTTCACGATTGACACTACGCACTCTGCCTGCGCATGCAGAAAACAAACACTTCTCTCTGTGATAAAGCGCAGATTACTAATCTTATTTAACATTTGGGATAGGTTTGTTGTTTACTATACATGTGAATCGTCTCCAAGATCTTAGGTATCACAGGCTACTCCAGAGCTTATTTAGAATTGCAAGAAGAAAATCACACTATTACAGCAGCATTTACCTTTAAAAGTCTTTCTTAAGCTAAATCACATTTAGACAAGGCGAGGGTTAAAATTCTTTTCTTTCAGCATAGCTGTGGCACAAAGTCAAGCTGGAGGCAAGTCACTACCAGGGCCAATGTTGTTTAACACCTTCATTAATGACCTGGATGCTAGGACAGAGTGCGCCCTTAGCAAGTTCACAGACAATACAAAACTGGGGAGTAGCTGATAACACCAGATGGTCATGCTGCCATTCAGAGGGACCTGGACAGGCTGGAGAACTGGACTCAGACGAATCCCTTGAAGTTCAACAAGGGGAAACGCAAAGTCCTGCATCTGGGGAGGAATAGCCCTAGGCACCCATACATGCTGGGGGCTGGAAAGCAGCTCTACAGAGAAGGATCTGGGAGTCCTGGGGGACAACAAGCTGACCATGAGCCAGCAACGTACCCTCCGTGGCAAAGAAAGCCAACAGCATCTTGCACCGCATTAGGAAGAGCATTGCCAGTGGGTCACTGCCAACAACATTGTCCAGAGGGGTTGTGGAGTCTCCATCTGTGGAGATACTCAAAACCTCACTGGAAATGGTCCTGAGCAACCTGTTCCAGCTGACCTTCCTTGAGCTAGGGACAAGCAGTTTCACCACCTTAGAAATTAGTACTGTTGATGCTGTTTGGCAACAACTGTTGCTTATGATACAGTGGTTGATAAAGTGGTCAGCCATGAAAACCTAACAGGACAAGAAACATCAGCCCAAGGAAAACAAAGTCATGCTTAAATAATCAGAAGGAAGACAGATTGGATGGAAATGTCACTGAAGAGGACAGATAATCCATTCTTTACTGCTTACATACGTGAGGGGACATACAGAAGGGTATCTGTGTCAGCAGCAGCTGACATATTCTATATAACTGAAAGCAATAAATAAAGACACAAATATTCCTACTCAATTTAACTGACAGTAGGACCACTCAGCACAATTCCTACTGACTGAAGAAAGAACTTGCTGGGAGGACAGGGGTCCCCATACTAATCTCAGTGTGGAACTATATAAGACATCTACCAGAGGAAATACTGTGGAGTAATATTAAAATGAAATAGTCTCCAAAACAAGTCCTCAGTGGTTCCAGATATGAGAGTGAGAATCCCAACGATCTAGCTTGTGTGTTTTTGAAAAAACCTTATGTTTTACACATGCACCAAAGCAGCCATTTCCACTACTAGAATAAGCATTTAATTATTCTAGGACAGCAACATCAGTTTGTTCACAATAAAGATTGACACAGGTTTGCTGTTCCCCACCCCACCACCTTATATTTAAAAGCTGTATCAGATTTGAGGTTTGGAGAATACTGTTTGCAGACAGTGCTAGGCACTTTAACAACATTAAGAATGTCATTTAACCAATAGAAGGAAAAAAAAAAAACCGAGGGCCTTGATATTGTGGTTTGTTCCAGATGGGGCAGACAGTTATACCAAGAATCTCCCAAATACCAAATAAAATAAAAACGAATTAAAAAGAAAAAAAGGCAGACGGGTTAGAACTGGACAAAATAGATACATGAAGAGAGAAAGTCTTCTTACATTTACCTGACGCATACATGTATTCCTTTGTATCTAGTCTCATTACCTAACTGCTGCTATTTTCATGGCTTATATTTCTTAATATTAGTCTAATTACTTTTTAAAATTAAACTTGATGTTGTCATAAGTTCAGCTCATTAATATTCTTTCCTCTGGAGCTATAATGGTGGTTTTACTAATATTTTAAACTCTCACTTACTGTTAACAAAACAAAAACCACAAACCCACTGAATTTTCACAAAATCTTCCACAGGTTTTTTTCAGCTTAAATTCAACTAAAGTCCATGGGATTTTTAGTCCTAAATCGCTTATGTTCTTCTGGAAATTAAATAACTTGAAAATTATTTTTTCTTGTATGCAGAATTTTTTATTCCCTTGTTCCACTTCTGTTACTTTTTATTATACACTTTCAGTGCTTCTTACCGTGCCAAGGCTTGGACTTTCGTGGCATGTCGCTCTTCCTGTTCTGCTACTTTCCTTCTCCAGTTGTCCATTTCCTGCCTTAGCGCTGCAGAATGCTCCATCTCTCCATCAAGCAGATTTCTCAGAGATCTGGAAGAAGGCAGGAGCCTCTGTTAGAACACTGCAAACACTACCTAGTAATTAGAGGATACTCTGCGAATCACAGAGTAGGTTGCCTGAATGATACCATTAATATCCCAAAATTTCATTATTCAATGTAATAAATTCACCTGATTTGATTATACAAAGATATGAAAAGCTACAAGGAAAAAGGACCCAACCGAAACAGTTGTAAGTGCTTACTATTAATTTGTATTCCAATCTCATCAACATGCCCAAAGCACAACCTATTACGGTATCTACTGTACGACCATGCAGAAAGAATTTATTGTAGAAAAGAGCCTATGATCTGGCTTCAGTGCTTCAGTGCAAGTTGATACATCTCAGAAATAATCTATAAGCAATATATTTACTAGCAAAAGCAGGAGCCAGGTAGGTGTCTTGTCTCTACTGAGAGCACTGCCACAGACCTCTGTGTAAAGCCTTTGACGAGATAGCAAAGGTCAGCATTATGCATAATGGTAAAACGCAAAGCATCCTGGTCCTTCTGCCAAAAAATGCAAAGCTAAACAGAGCAGTAACTTGCAATTATGGGAGTGGGGAGGATAAGAGGCAGGAAAATGGGATCAGTTGGTAGTCTTGACATTAAAAAAAAAAAAAGTCAATTACATTAGAAAAATGTAAATAACCAAAATAGCTCTACTACAGCATAACAACAGTATGTCTTGAATACATTTGGATTTTCATTCATCCAATTATGTGTTCCAATAGACTAAATAAATACAAAGTAGGTTTGATCATAGCATTTTAAATAAGCCATTTATCATTGTTACATTTACATCACCATTTTGCCCCAAGCGAATATAAGGACACTCACAAATGACAGCCACTTTCAGTGTAACACTGTTAGCCATCCTACATCACTTCTGCGCCGGAAGAGGAAGAAAGGAACTTTGCTGAATATTTATATCAGGACAAACTTTTACTCATTTGGAAAGCTATCTTAAGAGATCTTAAGAATCTTTTGGCTATAAGTTTTGGTTTTGAAAGAAATACAACTGGCAAAAGCTCCCAAGATACAAAAAGTTATATGTGATTCAAATTCAAAGGAATAAGTTGACCTGCAAACATTACTCTTCAGTATCAACAGCTGAATATTTAAGTATTAAGCTTACCTTTCACAGAAAAATAATATATACAACAAAAATATTACACAAAGATTGTGCATGGCTTTACACAAAGGACAGCTTGTATTAGAGAACAGATTTTTTTTAAACTATAGCACCTCTTGACTCGAAAAAGAAAACTACCTATTCTGTTCTTCCAGTTCATCCTTTCTATTCATCATGGCCACGATAGCTTGACGAAGTTCATCTAAAGTGAGGGGACAAAAAAAGATTAATTTCTGTGTGTATTTTTGCTCATTTCATATTGTTGCGTCATACTCCACACGTATCTAAAACTCAAGTACATAGTGGCACTAATTCAGCAACATGCCTAAGATGATGCCAACATCATTTGCTATTCAGCAAAGCACATAAAAATGCTCTTAATCTCATCACTCATTTGAGCAATCTTTCCAAAATGGTATTATTTTACACAGTATCAGAAGTATTGATCAAATCAAATTAGTCTGCATCTGGCTTTAATACAAATGTTTACAAGTTTGCCTGTGGCTGTAGCTGTTTTGTTTTAATAGCAGGCGTATGGGACAATGAACCTTTTCATTACATGCATATTAATGAGATACGCTGTTACTTAACTTCTTCAAATTGCTTGTTTTCCTTGCTATAAGTTTGACACAGGAAATATAACTATTACAGTGAGACCAGAGTAGAGATAATGTTATTGCTGCTTCATGGCATTTCTTCTCAAGCTCAGTCTTAAAGACTGTCTTAAAGATGATGGGATTTCTCAATCTTGTAATTTCCTATAAAAACCTTTTTGTTTCCTATAAATACCTTAAAAATACTTTCTGTCATTACATCAAGAATAAAAATTTAAAAAAAAGTATGATAGAATTTTAGAATTTTTAGACTTCTTTAGAGTTAGCTTTAACAGTGATACCAGAGTAGCTCAATACCATACAGAAAAGTGTCAGCTCAAAGCGCTGCCTCACCTGCAGTCCTTCTGCTATTATAAAGGTTTTACCACGTAACTGTACATCTGTACTGTTATTATTTACTATAAAGTTACAGAAAAATATAAGGACTCAATCATCTAATCTAAAATAGATCCTGACTTCCAGATCTTGCATGAATACATGAAATACAACAGGTCTTCAAAGATCTGAATGGCGTTTAGCAAACATCAGGGTGGACACGTGTCCTAAACTAGATTTTTTTTTAAAAAATTTCATTAACAATTTCACGTATGTTAATCAATACTTTTATGAGAGCTTCTGCAGGGACACAATTATATAAAAACATCCCTCCCAAGAGTTAAATGAAATGCTCCTATGTTTATATATAATAAATCAGCCATTTCTGTCCTGCAAGTATTCAAAGCACATGTCAGCAAATTTTTTGTGCTTTTACTGAAAACATACTAACAGAACTCGTATTACTTAATTTCTTCAAGTATGCAAAGCCATTGGACAACTTTTTTTCCCCCCTTACATTCAACTCACTGATTTACCCGTATCTTTCTTAATATTTTCTATAGTTATAGAAATTTTTGCCAGTTCAAAAAGAAAACCTAACATTGTCCTGTGGACCAGATTAAGTCTGCCAAACTCTAGTAGTGGACAAAATGTGAAAGTTTTTACTATGTCAGTCAAATGTATCAGTCAGTGCAGACACCACAATTCTAGTCTGGCATTGGTAATCTGCTGGTAAATCCCCCCTGGCAGGGTTCTTGTATCAGTTGAAATCAGCCAATACCACTTCTTCATGCTAGATTTTTTCCAAAACTTTTCTGCTTCTTTGGCCATGGAGAAAGTAGATGATTATTCTCCTACCCATTCCACATTACAGCTTGAGAACTAATTGACATTAGCAAGAAACATTTCAGTAGGTCATTAGAGGGATTTTGCACTTCATTAATTTAGCACAGAAAGAATAATTATTTTTCTACAGTAACTTAGCAGTGAGTTCTCTATACAGCTACGAAAAAAAAAAAAAAAAAAAATCCAAATCTTGTAGAAAAGCCAAAAGTGAAATTTGTGGGTATTAAATACTAACGCACATTTAAAAAAAAAAAAAAAAAATCTGGAGACTTCTGCTTTCTCCCTCGATAACACTACTCACATTCAAAATCAGAGCTGTGATTACATGGCTACTGTAATCAGTCTTCCTAAGGCTGTGTTTTCAGCAAAAAGGACATTCCAGCTTGCCTTACCCATCATTGCTACCACCTCCCTTGTTCTGGCACTGGTGTTAATACACACACAGTGTTCTAGCAGGAACTGATCCAGCTCGAAATTGGTTTTGGTTTGGAGTGGGTTTTTTTTTCTGTTGGGCTACTTTTCAGACAAGCAGTGGCCAAGTGATCTTACTGTTGACTTTAATACTCTTGCTGGCACAAGGCACATAGCAGAAAGCAGTCAGGGTAGAACAGAACACCTTTTAGTCAATAAGGATGAGGAATAAAAGGGGGAATACCCTTTTTGGCAAGAGTAAAGGTCATATTGCACTGAAGTGACCAGCTTACCACTGCAACTTACACAGCAATTGTAGAAAAACTTAGAATGGAAAGATTATATATGACAAAATATGCTGTGCTCCATTATTTTCATGACTATTTTTCAAAAGATGGTCTATAATAGCTTCTATTGACTAGCATTTGGGGGAGGGGGGGGGAGACAGACACCAAAAAAAACCCCACCAAACCCTACATTCTGAGATTCAAGTATTATATTTAGCTATAAAATACCAAACTTGGTGATCATGAAACTCAACACACTATTAGTATTCTTTTGGTCATGATGAGACACTGACACTTTGAGGGCACATTGGACAGGTTGGGATTTTTGAGGGTTTTCTGTTTGGGTTATTTTGTGGTTTGCTGGTGGGTTTTTTTGGCAGTGGAGAATCAGTGGATTGTAACAGTCCTGAAAAAAATAATACGCAGTGTTGTGAAAATGGACCACAGTCTATCAGCCTACCTGTGAAATAAAAAATTGTTCTAAGGATGAGGAAAATAGAATAATCCAGTAAGTGTTCAAACCTTGTACAAGCATACAACACAAGCAAAAAACATCCATAGTAAGCTTTCAATACAGTAATACTCTGTAACAAAATAAAGATCTTTACCTATAAAGTTGAATTCAGAATCCTCCTCAAGAAAGCGTCAAGCCAATGGCATTTTAAACATTTCAAGACTGTCATTAAAGTATGATAATGCACAATCTGAGTTAGTTGCTATTATTTCTCTGACTCTGAACAAATTAAAGCCGTTGCTACTCAGACAAGTTATTGTAGCTCTGGCTATGCACTTATGCTGGGGTGACTACTCTACAATAATTGCCTGTATGCATTCCCAGTCTGTTTAAATGTGTACTGATTTAACATTTAAACAGTGAAGCCGCTATAACTTGTCTCCATTTTTTCTAATTTTACCAGCCTATTCAAACTGTAACCTTAACTTGCCTAATAACTTAATCTTCTTTCCCTTATTCCACCCAGAATCTTCTCCATGAGTAGAGAGTTGAAAACCCATCTTCTCTCACTCCCCTCTCCAACACACATGTAAGCAAGCAGAGCATGAAAGCAAGATTCTGTTAAAGACCATGGTTTGCATAAAAGGAGAAGAAAAAAGCCTCTTGAAATAAAAGATGTTAAAATGCTTTTTATTTCAATTTGTCACATTTTTTCTGAGAGTTATGGAATTGACAATACTGTAGAGACACAGCAAACTCCAGAAACTCCAAATTTCATTATCACATGTAGGACAAAAATCAGTGTTTAATTGAGGACCACAAAAGCAAACACACTTCATACTCAGTATTTCTTGCTAATTTAGTTCAACTACGGATAGCAGTGGAGATGTGGAAGAAAGCATCAACACAAACCACTACTCTGGGCTAAGAGCCCAGGGTTCCAAGAAGGCTTGTACAGCCCGTGCTTACCCTAGCAGCAATATTGCTTCATTGCTATACCTATGCAATTTCTTCTTGAAGTGATGAGTATTGAGGAGCCATATTTTCTATCAATTACTCAAAAAAACCACAAGAACTATATAGTTTATCATCAACACTTCTTCAGCCTCTCCATCCACAGTAAACAAAAAGGAGTCAAACATTTATTAGTGTAATTAAATAAATAAGTTACCAAGAAAACAAAAATCAGAAACTTTAATTTCATCATCTTTTGATGCAAGTAACTGAATAGAACTAAAAGGACACCGTCTTATTTAATTCAGGCATAACATTCAAAACTTTCAAAATTGTAATTTCTTACTCTCTCTTCTTGAAAAACTTTAGCAGCATGTCAGAACTGTGAGCTGAATGCAAAAAAAAGTAAATCCAGTATCATACACTGCGGCAGGTTCACTTCAGATCTGCCAGAACATCCTCAGTTCATAAGCTTTTGTCTGTGTGTTTTGTCTTATGCTTGCCTCTGAGATCAGTGTATGATCATAACCTAATTTTCTCAGCAGACTGATGTCTCATTCATTGTGTGGGTTAGAAAAAGGAATAAATTAAAAAAAAAAAAAAAGAAAAGAAAAACAGGGTTGTAGCAGCAACCATAAATTTGGTATTTTCTGACTTCTGGACTTCGCAACCTCAATCTTTCTCCCCCCCCCCCCCCCCTTTTTTTTTTTTTTTTTTGCCACCTGCCTGTTAGCTGACTGTGTGCACATAAATAAAACAGTGGGAGGATGGCCAAGTATACCCACTTCAGAAAACTGTTTGATGTTAGAGTTTATGTCCTACTTCTGAACTGCTTTGTGCTTCATATGTCATTTACATTCTGTAAATTAACATTATGGAAAGAGATACACTACTGTTATTACAGATCAGCGTTCAACAGCAACATATCTGAAATTCAAGTGATAATCAGTGTTTCATAAAGACAGATATAATAAGATAACTAGTGGGGTCTCTCAAATTACATAATCTTAAGAGATATTTTTGCAAGAACTTCTTTAAAAAAAGGATTCCCATGTGCAAACCAATAATTCCAAACCAGGTCTTGCTTTATCAGTAAAAAAAAAGATAACATAAAAATCAAGGAATGTGCTAACTAAATTTTTCATATTAAACCTCACTTTTTAGAACATCAAAAGTTATCTTTTACTGTTGAAATTAATCTGTAGTGCCTAATTACTAATAAAGTAAATATTTGCTCTACAACATTTTTAACTCACTTGCATACTACATGCAAAATCTAGCTTCTATAAAGCTTTTATAAGGTCACATCCAGAGTATGAAATATATGAAAAAGTGCCATGCTTTAAGAAACACCTGTCAATTTCCCAGCAACCTCCAGAAAAGTCATAAGTTTCACAACTCTTCTGCTGTTTAGCCAAAGATTGGATAAGTATGATTTGCAATCACCTGTTATGAAGAATGAGCTGTAAGTGAAATCATCTCTCAGTGTACACAAGGTCATGCAGCACTCCTCTGCAATCTTGCAGACAGAATATCAGGGTAGGCTGGGAGCAGTCTACAGGAATGATTTTTTTATTTTCCTGAGTGCAAATTTACACAGATATTTTCAGAGACAAAACTTCCAGCAGACTAGTTACATCATAAATCAGAAGTCTGACCTTTATAGACATGCTCCCTAAGCTGCCTGCACGAACATTGGCTATTAAGGCTTTATTTAGTGCTCCAAAATCTTGTAAATATTATCCTGTCATGTCACTATTAACAGGGCAAATTTTAGTATGAAACAAATTAGACAATACTGTGTTGGCCTTCTACCGTATAGAAGGGTCCTGACCAAAAAAAAGTCCATCAGATGAACTGCAGGTTTTTTCTCAGTGATGAAATTTATACACCCTCTTTCCACAGCTGTTCTTCCAGAGAAGTCACAAGAATTTAGCACCTGTCAGTGACCGGTGGCAACCAAGTTACAGAACAGTCAGAAGCTATTTAGAGGACAGAGAAAGTACAAAAACATACACCTTATTTACCTACACAGCCAGGATAAAAATAGAATATGTAGGTTTGATTATTCAGTAAAGTTCTTCAGTGATCATGAAAAACTGGGGGCTTTCTCAAGAATATATGAAAAAATATGGAATAATGTACAATGCTACAACCTTTGCTAACCTTTCTGGTTAAGCCCAACTTCAAAAACTGAGGAAAATTATAGTAGAAAAACTAAGTTCCCAATGATTTACTAAAAACAGCACTATAATCAAAGAACCTTGTAAAAGAGGACACAAGTAGCATCCTTCTAAGATGAAAGTTTTGGAACTTCCTTTTTTTCCACTGCAAAAACAAAATGGGGAGACTTGTGTTGGTAGGACAGATTTTTCTGGTGTAAAACAATGCTGAAAATATAATCTTCCAATGACAATAACTGGAGCAGACATAAAGTTTTTTGTGATTCAAATATGACAAGATAAATACAATTTTTTAAAAACTGGAAAATGACATAATGGAATAGGTGCATAAATATAAAACTTCTGACAAACTTAGTTCTTTATAAAATTGGTTATAAGACATAACGATCTGTAAAGTAGGGCAAGTTTTCAAATGATGTCTAACATACACAGCGAAACTCTATGGATTAAGAGTTCTCTTGAGTGGTATTAGTATTTTTTTGAGATGTATCTGCTGCTATGTTAACCTATACCTTACAAAAGCATGAGATACAAATTCAGGAAAATCATTCAAAATGGCAGAAATTTTAAATTACAGCTTCCTACAACATAATTTTCTAGCCTGCATATCAAAAGAACTGAGAAAAGGTTGGTACTATACTAGTAAATTGGAAAGGAAACAGAAAAAGAATAGATTAAAAAAAACATTCATTTCAGGCTTTGTCACAAAAAAAAAGCAGCACAAAAATCCAGTCACTGGAGACCTCACAGCTTTTCTCACTGCACTACTGCATTCCATTTTTCTTGTCTGATATGTAGAATTAGTTGCTATGCAACCAAGTTATAAGCCTCACCATTTAATAATTCTTCTGCTAATTGCAATAGAGAAAAAGAGCTTCAGTGTCTGGCTTTGTCATAACACAAAATTCTTCCTGTACGGAGAACCCACAACCAATAACAATGAACTTGAAAACGGCATTTTTATTGAATGTATCTGTGATGAGCTATAATAAAGGTATTAACCTATATGTATAGTCACCTGAATTTTTATTATAATAATTAGATTATTTACTAAGTGTTCCACTGGCTTTATAGATTGTTTTGACATGCTTCCCCCCCTCCTTCCACCAAAACCTTCTCTGAAATGGGAAACTAATGATAGCGTGTATGCTTCTGTTGATCCTGGGTTCATTTCATTTACAAATTGCTAAGTATCAAGAATTGAAAATCTCAAGATTTGCTTTCTATTTTACAGCTGTCTTAACTATATCTCCTATACATAGGAACTAACTGAGCAACTGAAGGAGACCAACTGCGGCCCCTGCTGGTACCTAATACACCTATGAAACAATAGAATCAATGAAGTGCAATAAAATCAGAAAGTTTCCCATTAAAATTCTATTACTGAAAAATAAGATACAAATGTTAAGAACAAAAGGATGTTGTAGTAATAACATGAGCAGAGAATATCCAGCGACCAAAGTATCACAGTAACTATCAACAGTAACTCCATCTACACCTTCAATTATGTCACTTAAAAGTTTCCAACTAGTTTCCCACCTCGTAAAGTACTTTGTAAGAAAGGATTTTTCAGTTTTGTAAAGCTCAGTCAGCAGACCCACAACAAGAGCCTGAAACAGTACCCATCAAAAATGCAAGGTCTACCTCCTTAAACATACATCAACACAGATATCATTCGAACATGACATTAGAACATGAGATTAGAATATCTTAAAGGTTCATTCATTTTGATGCTTTCATAAATCAATTTTAGAGAAGAATTTGGCTGAGTCACTTCTAACTTCCCAAATGTGATAATTTAAAATTTGTACATGTTTAAATTTATAAAAAGAAAGACAAACACACACCCCAAAGCTTTAGGACAAAGCTATATCCACCAGTTCAGTTACAAAACTTTCTGTGCAGTGAGGTAAATAAAACCATAATGGCTTACATGTTTAGACAGCTAGTCAGTTTAAGAACTAATTCTTTGTTCTACAAGTTTATGTGAGGAAAAAAAGTTTAAAGATGGGGTAAACAAACTGCCTGTACTTCTACTAATCTCTTTCTACAGCAAAGGCTATTTTATCCTCTCCAGCTCAACTCTTAACACCACTGAAAATACGACTGTCCTCCACCTTAATCTTAACTAAAGTTTTTGCTTATGAAAGCCCATATTTATGTTTGCAGCTGATTTCCATATCAAAACCACAGACTGAGTGTACACAGAAAGAGTTCCGGGTTTGTTTGGGTTTTTTTCCAACTACGCATTAATGAAAGCAGGCAAATTAAGTAAGATCACATCAGAACCCACGATTAGTGTTTTCAGAGCTTGCAGAGATTTAAAGATGTTCATCAAATGTAATCATTATCATTCATTTAACTACCCAAGCCACACCTAGTATAAGGATGACATTAGTTTCTCTGTGGAAAGAGAAGTTAATGTCATACCAGTTGCAAGGAGCCATAACCTGGGATCTGCCAATTTGAAAATCATTTTAGAGCAGTCATTTCTAATGTGGCCAGCATACCAGAAGTGAAGTGATGTATGCCTCTCTAAACAGATCTTACTGAAATAAAAATAGAAATGAAGAGTTATAGGACTTTCAAAGTTAGTTCCATCAATCTAGATACATCAAGGAAGTACTTACTAATTGTCATGGATTCTGGGACAGTGGCTGAAGGCAACATATTGCTTAAAGTATTCACTTGAGCTGGAGGACCGACTTCCACTCTAGTCATAAAAGTACAATATCATCAATAAATGAAACCAAAATCCTGAATTCAAAACTTAAGAAAAAAAGCATTCCAGAAACTAGAATTGGCATAATATTCACCCATATTCAATCAACTTATGTTTAATTATCCTTTAATAACTATGAGTGACTTAAGAATACACACAAAAAAGATCCAAATCAACAGGCCATGGAGAATACAGTAAAAAACAACATAAAAACCAACATAAAACCTATTTTCAACACCAGGAGGCTAAGTCTGCCTGTTATCTGACATGACTACATGACTTCTTCAAGATAATTAGGAAAAGTTCAATATATGAAACTATGCAAAAAGGGAAGTGTAGGCTTTTGCATTTGTCTTTCCAAACATTTGCAAAAGTACCCTGATGAATATTTTGTTTTCCAGTACTGAGTAGCTATGCGTTAGGTAACAATAATAAGTTGGCAGCTACATGGTGAAGATTTTTTTCCTTTAAGAAAAACATGTTTGACATGTACCTGTAAGGAAGATCAGATCTTCTTGGAACCACTTCTACCGCATGAACAACATGTTCATGCCCCTCTCCATTCTCCAAGTTATCTAAAGTAGAATGCATAAGCATTAGCTTTCTTCAGTTAACAGCACTTAAAAAATAAAATAAAACAAAAACAAAATGAAAAGGAAGGTAGTCACATTTTTAACTAGAAATAGTCATCTTTACTAAAGCTTTTAAACACTTTAAATTCTTTCTCCAAGGTTGGCTTCTGCACATTTACCGTGAAGGCCAGCAGGATTGTAAAGTCCCTTAGGAACAGAGTCATCAGTTTAGGAAAAAATCACTATTGCACAATTCCTAAATTATAATTTTGCTGTACATTTTACATTGATAATGATGTTGCAAAGCTATGAAGAGACTTCAGTTACTGAAGTTATTTTTGCAAACCCCAGGAGTTTAACCACCACATGGCATCTGATACTCATCACAAATCGTTTTGTGACTAGCAGGAAAAGAATTTGTGGTCAGTCCCCAGTACATAAAACCTTGCAAAGACACCAGTCCTTTATGCATTCCCAGCAGAGCACCACAGCTTTTCTCTGGCTCTTTATGCCTATGTACCAAACACCAGGAATCAGACAGATGAGATATTTTTTAAAAAGCATGGATAATATGCATTTGTCCACAGATCCACAACTGTCAGGATCAAAATATACACATCATTGGGCCTGTCATTAAAGTAGTTTGCGTGGAAAGAAACAAAAATCACATTTTATTGATGTTTTCTGCATCTCACTATGTAAAAGTTACAAAGTTACCACAAAACAATCCTAAAAACATGAGCTAAAATCGCACAGAATTTAAAATGCAGGAATTCTAGGAAAAAAGTTAATGGGAATGAGAGTTATGTCAGAATGACTATGGAGGAGAAAGTTCATTTTTTAAGCTGTAGAGTTTACTGAAGATCAGTTCCTAAAATGCATACTCCATTTTTGTTCCAAGCAACTGAATTTTGACTCAGGCTTTCTCATCTCTACGTGCATGGAGGTATGATACACCCTGACACATTCCTGAAGCACTGCAACAGACTAAAACTGAAAACACCAATATTAACATACAACACTACAGACTATGCTGTAATCTATTTCAAATATAAGTCTTGTTATTTATCTGTATTAAGACCTATAAACAAAAATATTGGGTTAAACTATATATTTTACAAGAGCTCATTAAGCATGTTTTAGCAAAAATGTTGTCATAGTAATAATGAGCTTGCCAGTTACTGGGCTGAACTGCCCTCAGAAAAAGCTAGCGCTTTGATATCGTTCACCTAGCAAAAGTGTAACTTCCAAAGTCAAGCAAACAACTGCCTAAGGCAGCTTTCGATCTCATCAAATTGTCATTATGGGTGGGGAGAGGGTGACCGTACCCATGTGTATCACTCTCCCTAACTGGCTGACATTTGGGTTACGTGATGGGCCTTTTAGTGATGACTACCTGCATACTCTGTCAGTTCAGGGCTCTTCAGAAGGGCCCAGTGAGAGCATGGAAAGTTGAAATCAGGAAATCAGACTGCAGAATCTGTGTTGCTGTTTCCTATAACTGATCAAGACTCCTTTCACCAGGCCAAGGCTGTATCGTTCTGGCTTGCATGCTGAAAACCACATGGTTTACCACAAAGAGGGGCAGGAGAACTGAAAATATCTGTATACTGTGCCAGAAGGGATCTGAATGGGCCTACTGTTGGTCATCTCTAGCAGTCTGAGCATTGTCTTCAAAACAGTTCTGAGATGAAGCAAGATGAAACAAGGGTCTTTGGTACCTCCTTAATAAAAGCAAGCCCCTGTTACACTTACTGTTGTCCTCTCTGGTCATCTGTCTCCAGCACTAAGTCTTGGCTTGGTCTCCTGACTTGATTTCAGCTACAAACCCCTAGTAGCTCTAGCTCCTGATGCCTTGTGACATCTGACTGGCTACTAACTCCCACAACTCCACCCCACCGCCACCCCCCCCTTAAACAGGAATGTTTACTTGTATTGTAGATTTCGATCTGTTGCGGTTAGCAAACACTTACAAATCCATGGACTTTTTCTAACAGTTCCTGTATAAAATTTAAGAGAACACTGTGCCACAAACTACATAATGTTTTCTAAATCCATACCCTCATAAATCGAAAAATGTGGGAGCACAGGAAAAAAATGAAATTGTACTTTCTATTTTTTTTGAACCACTGGCATTTCTTAAGAGGCACATGTCTTAAAATACAGCAGAGGGCAGTACAGCATTATTTTACGATTCACATTATTATCACCAAACTTACAGAACTGAATTACTTTTTCACAGGCCTTCAATTAATGGTCCATTTAAACTCTTGGCACATATACTGTATATGCAAAGAATGTGAAATATTTTAAAATTAAAACACTATTTGAATGCCACTAAGAAGTTTTTAAGTGGTCTGAAATGAGAATACATACCCAAAGTTTTATAAAAGCAATGTTTTATAAACAGCTAGCAAAATATTAACTCGAGGTGGGGGGGAAGGCATGGTGGAAGTTTTGTTCGGTTTTGATACCAATACAGATACTGGAAAAGCACCAGGTCTTCTCTTCTATACCTTTGACCATTTTCATTCCTTGCTTCAAGATGTTCTCCAAAGGGTCCACATCGATCTTGAAGTGCAGTACCCCAAACTGCATACAATACTGCAGCTGAGGACCCATCAAAGCCAACTGAGCATAAATTTACAAATGACACTTTCATTTATGCATGCCTGTATGAAGCATGCTTTTACTGCAGAAGCATGGCACTGCTAATTCACTATCAGCTTGTGACCTGCTATAGTTGGTCTGCTGCAAAGAACAACTTGAGGATACTGACATATGAAAAAAAAGATACGAGCCAGCAATTGGTGCTCACAGCCCAGAAAGTCAATCATAAACTGGGCTGGATAAAACAAAGCATGGCAAGCAGGTTGAGGGAGGTGATTCTCCCCCTCTATTTTGCTTTCATGAGACTCCACCTTGAGTACTGTATCCAGCTCTGGGGTCCACAGTACAAGAAGGACATGGAGCTGTTGGAGTGGGTCCAGAGGAGGGCCACAAAAATGATCTGAGGGCTGGAGCACCTCTCCTATGAAGACAGGCTGAGAGAGTTGGGGTTGTTCAGCCTGGAGAAGAGAAGGCTCCAGGAAGACCTTATTGCAGCCTTTCAATATCTAAAGAGGGCTTATAAGAAAGATGGAGACAGACTTTTTACCATGGCCTGCAGTGACAGGACGAGGGGCAACGGTTTTAAACTGAAAGAGGGTAGATTTAGATTGGATATAAGGAAGAAATTTTTTTTACAATGAGGGTGGTGAGACACTGGAACAGGTTGCCCAGAGAAGTTGTGGATGTCCCATCACTGGAACTATTCAAAGTCAGGTAGGTCAGGGCTTTGAGCAACCTGATCTAGTGAAAGACGTCCCTGCCCATGGCAGAGGGGGTTGGACTAGGTCATCTTTGAAGATCCTTTCCAATCCAAACCATTCTATGATTCCACGATTCCCATATCCTTCTCCAAAGAAGTATTTCCTAGCCAATCATTCCTCATCCTGTATATAAACAGATAACAGCTTCTATTGAACTGCATCCAATATGTGATACTGTCTCCAATCTGTCAAGATTAATTTGAATTCAAATTCTCAAACACACTTGCACTTCTTCTAGCTTAGTGATATCAAGAAAATGAATAAGGATACTTTCTATGCAACCATCCTAAACATTAATATAATACCAAACAAAACCACAGCTTAATGCCAACAAAACTCTGGTTTATTTTGACATTGATAAATCCTCCTCAACTAAATATCTACTCAAATGGAGAACTTTGATTCAGATCTAGGATAAAATTTAATTGAACCTCACATCCCAGTTGTGCAGTATCTCCTATGTCTTTATAATCCCATTATTTCTTACCATTGTCCCATGTTAGAAATTCTGTTACAAAGTTTGCTGGAATTCGGTAAATTAAAATACCTACCTATTTGGGAGTAAGAGCCAACAGCACTGACTGGAAATAGAACATCTGAGTCATCATTCAGGACCTGAAGAGGAGTCCAACTGCATATCTGAGAATTGCATGTGCCTATTTCATGAGACCTAGATTTAAAACAAACAAACAAAACAACATATTTATACAGTCAATATTCATGTTGACAATGCTTGTATTTCTTTCAGAGATACCACTGCAAGAAAAATCTTTATTTCAATCTGCCTGCCAATTTCTTGATTCAGACATACATAAATTCATTAAAGATCAGACCATTCCAAAGCAGGTAAGACAAGCAGTGCTTGCCTCTTTTTCTCCAAAGGTATTACTGTGTCAGAAATAAAGAGAGCATATTAGTATCTAAAATTATTCTTCTTCTCTCAGTTTTGTCTTGTCTTGTTTAACTACCTACTCTGATGATAACAGACTTACTTTGTTTAAAATATGTGGTTTTACTGTGAAGCCAAGATAGAGTTGATATCATACTAAGAATAAAGAAACTTCAAATAGAGCAGAATTATAGCCTGGCTATATCATGTAACAATTTCAACAACTGAGAACTTCAAGGAGAACAAGTCTGAAATCTCACAATTTTGGTTTTCAGTGGAACTTAGAAGCATAACACCATCACCACAGTGGCCCACATAGTTTAAACAATGGAAAAGAAAAAGATGGGGGGGCAGAGGAAAAGAAAAAAGAAAAAAAAAAAGGAGAAAATATTAGTTACATAAATTTGCCAGTACCCAGGGGGGTGGGGGACAGGCATTAAAAATTTACCACTGGCTCCTGCAACATTGCTTACTTTTCAGAAGCATCAGTTTCACCTTCTGTGCCTTTATTTCCTAACGTTTTTCCATATAGCTCATCCTCATCTGCATCTTCATCATCAATGCTCTTCACGTCTAGTTTCTGGTATTCATACTCTCCATTCATGAATACTGAATTGCTCTTCCACGAATGGTTACTTTCACTCCCGTTCAAATTTTTTCCAAGAGTGCTTTCAGATGAGGATAATACAAAAACTGAAGATCTGTCTACACTCTCCTCTGAACTTTCTCCTGTAATCAGAGTCTTTGTGGTATCCCCCAAATTTTGCTCATCTTCCTCTTCATCAAATGAGATAATATTTGTCACTCTCTTCTTCTTTTTTCGATCTTTTTTATATTTCAAATCTAGTAGCAACATAAAGGTTTACATAGTTTAGAAAAGAGAAACAATGCAATACACTTGGTTTTTTTCTTAAAAGAACTGATGTACTAAATGAGTTTAGTAAAGAAAAAACCACTCTCATCTACAAGGCATTTCATTATCTTTCCATATACATGAGCTTGTAAATCTTTAACTACCATCTTTATTTTATATGTCTTACATAATTCAGATTTTAGAAGATATATTGGAGGTGCATTTATAACACTATTCAGTTGGAACTGGAAAAAAAGAGTTCAACAAACTTATAAAATTAAATTTAAAATAAAAAGTTAGCCTTCCCATCACTTTGTCCCATGGAATATGGCTAGTGTATATTGCAGATTATGTCTACACAACAGAGAAAACATGAAACACTTCTGGAGAGAAAAAATTAAAAAGAACAAACTCACAACACAAACAAAATCCACAACTTGCAATCAAATAAAGTTAGTTTTGCCTGTATTCTGGAAACTGAGCAGTCAGTTTTCAGAAAAAGAAATTAAACTTGCTCCCTCCCTCAGCTAATTAGCTCTTGGTCTAGAAATACACTGAAATCCTCTCTGATTACATCTATGCTGTGACAGCACTTATTTTTAAATTATTACCTATTCTCACTGATTCCAACGTGCACGAGGCTAAATGATCTTGCAAATTTGAAGTACTCTAAGAAACACCAGAAATTTACTCACCAAGACAACTCACATTGGGACTAAACTGTTTTGTTTAATTCAAGTCCAGCTGTTATATATCCACAAAACACATTAACATACTTTTAAGAGTAAGAGAATGTTAAAACCCATTCTGGATGCAAACAGAATTCCAGAAAGAACATAGACTTTAATGAAAACATCTGAATTGCTCTAACATTCAACATAAAATGGCACTTGAACAACCCCAATTTTTTTAAAGTGACATTTTATTGTAAGTTGTACATTACATGTGCTGTATACACATGTACTGTACACATAATGTACATTATGTTGTAGAGTCATGTGCAGCATATGGTCAATTATTCTGTTATTTTATCTTGCAAGCCTATTCTATACTAACAAAGCTATCCCAAGTCAAGTATCGCCTACTATTTTAATCTCATTTAAAGTGCTAAACAACAAAAGCTTTACCACAAGTTTGTTTTGAAAACCGTGTTTTGAGACAAAGTCTATTTTAAATGCCAATAAAAATAGATTTTATCTCAACTTCTATTCCTACCAGACAGCACTCACATGTGGGTTTTTTTTTCCTTTTTCTTATAACCAAAACAATTTAAAACTTAAACTCAAACCTTGTTTCTTAATTGAAAAACACCTAAATCCCAGAAACTTCCTGCAGTTTTGTACCTTTACAAAGCAAAACATTCTTTCAGCTCAAGTTCTGGAAATAAAGATGATAAAATATTCCTTTGCTATTTTTGGAACTGAAAATCACATTTTGCCTGATTAATTTCAAATTATAAGAGATTAAGACTTTGGGTCTTAGTAACTAACATCCTACAGACTGGTTGCAACACTAACATATTTAAAGGTAAAAAGAGTGTATGAGTACATTTTCATTTGTGGCAATTACCTTCTTCATATAGGAATTCAGACTGTAAACATGGGCACTGCTTGAAGAAGATTACAAGCTAAGATTTTTATCTGATATACAACAACAGATATATGGCAGTGTATTTGTGACTGATAAAGTGCCAAAAGAAAACATATTAAAAATGAAAAATCATTACATCAGAAACTGCAAGGCACAATCTTATGAATAAGAAATTGAAATTCCGGTCACAAGAAAAACACTTTACCAGTAAGATAGTTTAGCTTCACTCTCACAGTGATAAAAGAAAGCTAAAATACACATTTATCATCCAGTATTCACACCAGTGTTTCTAAAAAATTTCATCCTTTTTATTTCTCACTCAACCATTTTGTACCTGTACTGCACTTATTTTTAAGGTGTTTTTTCCATAACAGTGCATTAAATTTAATTGAAAAAGTTATTTAAACACACTTGAATATTTTAAAAGTTTCTGAATGACACTAACGTTGCAAAAATGCTTACCAGCATTTACATTCTTTGAGAGAACAGGAAGTGGGTCAGTGTCTTGATCAGGTTTTATTAGAATCGAGACAGCAGATGATGCAGTTATCTCTCTAAGAAGGCTGCTAACACCCTGAGTGGATTCTTTCAATAATGAGGTTACATTTTGCGTTGATTCCTTTAACAAATCAGACACGGTGGGTGTGCATTTGCTCTGCCCATTTAAATCCTTATTATCAATGTTGATTGCAAAAAGAATGGAGTTCAGACCTTCAGATAAAAGAAACAGGAAAAAAAAGACCAAAAACCCACTATATACTTCATACAAAAGTTATAAAGATAGAGCGTAAGGATTAACAAAGCTATGACATGTAAAACATTTTTCCCCAAAAATATCCCACAGTTCGCTATGCATGAATTCTTATTCTTTCATGTACCATTCATTCTTTTTTAGATGATATTCAAGCTGATGCAATCAGTTCTGAATTTATTTTGATAGCTGTTCAGCTGTGCATTAAATAAGCAGTTAGTACTATGAACTTGTTTATTTTTAACATGTTATTTAAACCCATTTCACTGCAACTTTAGTATTTGTCGGTTCCTATATTCTGTTAACAAAAACAACTGTGAACCCTATCTTGCAGAATGAAGCATGTGACCGTGTATCTGAGAAAAGGGGTGTAAAAGGTAATAATACATCACTTTGTGGTCAAACTCTAGAAAAGTAAATTAGCTGTTATCATTCCTTACTCTTACTCTCCTTCCATGTATTTACCTATAATTTGGGTCTTACTATAAAAGTTTATCATTGCTCTTTTCTAGTCAGGAATAATCCATTTTGTTTTCTCTAACTTGCACTAGTCTTTAAAAAAAAGTTAGCCTTGACTGATGAAGGGTTAGAAAATTTATGTGAAAGACTTTTGAGCTGTAGGAAGGCCAGATCCAGTATTTTAACAGTTCATCAATTTATAGCATAAAGTGGCATAATACCTTGACTATTCACCCTGAATGTGCACCTGACACACACTCTCCACACAAACGCAGTCTGTTAGAGAAGCTCCTCGCAACCAGAAACAGATGTGACATCCCAAACTGAAACAGTTTTCCAAGAACAGCAGCATTTAAGAGGAAGTCTTACCAGCTGCCATCGTAGGGATCATACTAGAACGTTCTTCATCCATCATAAAAGACCAGTCTTCATAGAAGACACTACAATTTGAAAGGAAAAAAAAGAGAAAAAAAAAAAGAATATGCAGTCCTATATTAACATATATTCCACTTCTAAAAGACATGAAAACTCTGAAATACATCAAGTATGAGTACACCAATGGATCAAATTGTATGTTACAGTAACACCCCTAAGTCCTGAAAAATACAGAACTGTCTGAACAGTTATCAAAGACATCAAAGACAATATTTCTCTACACCTATTGCTATACTGCATATATAAGTTTTTAAATAACTATAGTTGATGATAATTACCAAGCCATTTTATAAAATATTAGAACACATGAATATAAACAAAAAGATCCACTTCATCTTGAGCAACCTGATCTAGTGAAAGATGTCCCTGCCCATGGCAGGGGGGCTGGACTAGACGATCTTTAAAGGTCCCTTCTAACCCAAACCATTCTATTATTCTATGACTCAGTGACCTGTTTCAATATCCAAAACTACATCAATTACCCTAAATAGTCAGAGTCAGCTAGGAATTTGGATGTAAGGAAAAAAAAAGTTCACATGAATTTCACTGTGAACACATGAATTTAGCTGTTCTAAACCTGGTTCTTTTTAGTAGCAGGATGCTGGTTTTTTACTATCAGCATTCAGTTAACTAAACATAAAAACAGATAGCAAGAAAACCCTCAACCTATATTAAACAATTTTGACAGAATCATTTAAAAGTTTGCAAAACAGATAAGAATTGGGGACGTATACTGATTCTGTAAATCCCATTGGAATTTGGATAACATTTAAATTGTAAATATTCTGGAGTAAGCCTTTTTAGAAATAATATTTCATGTACAATGCAGAGAGTGCTGATAAAGGCGATGCTGCGCAAGTATTGCTACAAGCATGAGAGTAATTAGTGACATGGCAATCCAAGTCACTAATTTCCTCACAACAGTTTTCAGATTTTTTTTTCCTTTGTTGTTTCATCTGTCTTTATTTGATTTCATATCAAAATCCATCTTGCAAGAAAGCTACAGAGGACTGGAACAGACTAAAAATGAAAAGGAGGTACTAACAAGCTCAGTTCTGGCAATAACCTTATCCAGTACATCCCTTAATTGATGCAAACGGAAAGAATGCCTTTCTGCTGAATCCACTGGACTTGATCAAGCTCAACAGTTATTTATAAAAAAGGAAAATACACCAAATTTTCAAAAAGAAAAGGAGCTGAAGATATATGAGGAAAATGGTAGGACTCAGTTAAGTATGAACTTAAGTGCATTTTGCACATGCAAAGTACCTTAGGATTTCACAATGCATAGTAAGTTATTCTCAGTAACTCTGTAACGAGAAGGTTCACAAACTGGTACAAAACCACTTCCAAGTGATCTGCAATAGTAGCTACCTATTGCTTGACTGCTGGAGCTTTTCAATTACAGCATGAGCACCTCCAAAAGGCAACAAGCAATTACCACTGATGAATTGATAAGATCAAGGCTGTAATTGTGCACTATTTCAATGGAATGAGAGGGGCACCCCAAAGCATGGTGTCAAGGTCTCAGTGAGGAAAACTGTTGAAAGAATAGGGAAGGGAGTTAGGAAAGAGGATGGAAATGAAGATGAGGGTAGAAGCATATATTCTCACGTGCCAGAATGAAGCCAGTTTCAGGTCACATGTTGATACACGCATAAGCCACCATCTTAACGGCTGCCAAAATTTCAAAAATTAACAAAATGAAAGTATAAGGTTAAGTGGCTTCACTAGCATAGCAATTAATAAGGTGTATTATTACAGATGTGTTTTTCGGTTGGTTGAGTTTTTTTAATCTCAGTACCTCATTTGTCAATACATTTCCTGCATTACAAAGATATCACATACAGTACCTGAGTCGATTCTTATCTGCAAGCAGCATATGAACGTATCTTTCCAGGGAATGTTCATTTAATGAACAGCGCAACCAGGCCCGGCCTCTACCAATATCTGTAGTAATTGTCTTCAGAGAGTAAAAGCGCTGCAGTTCATGTTTATTCAGAACTTCTTTCACATAGTACCAAAACACTGGTTCTGGAATTAAAAAAAAAAAAACCCACAATAATAATAACAATAAAGAATCCACCAAAAACCGCTAAGCTCTGAATGCATTTACATGCAATTTTATAAAACAAGCAGGTAACAGTACATAACTTTGAACAACGGTGAATCATTTACCATCTTCGTATAACTTTCCAGTTAAATAGGTTATTTATTTCTACAGAACTTGGGCTATTTAAGCACTTAGAAATTTTCACTTTATTGAGAAAACCACACACACATATTAAAGGATTCTGTCTTACATTTTTAAATAGAATTCACATTTAAAAGCACATTTAAGCTAGTATTTCATCCATACAACAGGTTCACATGTTCAGCTGGGAATACATTATGCAAAGGAAAAAAGTTCTTTAGAACTCTATCTTACTGCTGACTGTGAAATGTTAGAAGCTAGGTCCAAAGGAACGGGTAGCTCCAGAATTTACAGACATGCAAGTGACAAATTCATGTTACTTTAAAAAACAAAAGTGTTACACTTAAAAGGCAACAATGCCCCTTCCACTAAAATACTCTCCTTGCCCTGTCCCCATATATTGATAAAAAGTTTTTTTGCAGTTGCCTCAAATTTCTCAATTGGAGGTAACAAAAATCTACATCAGTAATTGTAAACGTACAATGAAACACCTAGTATTTTACATGGTCCTGTTTCTTAACTGAATAAGAACACATTTTAAGGACATACTTATTACAATTCACCTCATACCATTTTCTCAGGGCGAAAAGAACAACCAAACATCAGATAATTCATCCATAAGACTTGAATCATTACTATATGGTACAGTTGGGTAATCATTAGTCATTAATGTTGCATCAAATTCATACTGCTTGAAAGTATCTTACAATAGCACATTAACAATAACGTTCATGTGGCTTTGATTTGCTATAAATAGAACTGCTCAAGTAATTAGAATGGTTTAAAAACTTTTAATCTATACAGATAGTAACATTAAGAGATTGAATTTAAGGCGAATAGGATATTTTTATGAGCAAAAAAATCTGATAAACCTAAGCATTACAAAAACATGTAAAACACATCAATCTCTCAAGGAAGACATGCAGGTACTCCTTTTGACAGTTTAATGAATGTCTTCACTCAGCATTTTTTTAAGTTAACAAAAAAGGGAAAATAATTCTATTGTAAAAGCGAACGGTGCACTATCACCTCAAATATTATGCTGGCTTTTGATCATAATCTCAAGGTAGGCAGCATAAAGCAGATGTTTAAAGACAGGTAAAAAAATTCCTCAAAGACACAGGAAAAAAAATTCACACGAGAAAGATTGATCCTGCCACTCCTTGCTTATCACTTTTCTAAATCTCTTTTAAACGTAGTAAGCTTTTTAAGAAAAGGCATGATGCTTCTCTCTGTTAAATAAAGAGCATGCAGTCAGATTTTGAACAGGTTTTCAGTACAGCTTATGACTTTTAGTGAAATATGCTCATTTGAGGATGTGGGGGGTTTTATTAATCTCTGCTGAAAGCCAAATACAGCATTAGATTAGCAAAGTTTATAATATAATTTTAGAAACCTGAACACATAACAAGCAGGTTAGACTCATTAACTAAAAGTTTTGCCAAATAGGTCTGACAGCTATGCAAGAATAACCCAGAGCTCTTCTAAATTAGACAAATATGCAAAACACAGGAACCATTGAATTGACAATGCAAAACTAAAGGTGTACTTTGCTGAACTAGGACCTCACAGGCACATTAACACACAAAGAATAAGGAGGTCCACTGAACATGTAAGAGCATTCAAATATCCTATGTCCTATTTCATAGAATCATAGAATCGTTTAGGTTGGAAAAGACCTTTAAGATCATCCAGTCCAACCATTAACCTAACATTACCAAGTCCACACTAAACCAATTAAGGGTAGACTAGACTAAACCATGTCCCAAAGTGCCACATCCACCCGTTTTTTGAACCCCTCTAGGGATGGTGACTCCACCACCTCTCTGGGCAGCCTGTTCCAATGCTTGACTACCCTTTCCATGAAGAAATTTTTCCTAATATCCAATCTAAACCTCCCCTGATGCAGCTTGAGCCCATTTCCTCTTGTCCTATCGCTGACTACTTGGGAGAAGAGCCCAACAGCCACCTCACTACAACCTCCTTTCAGGTAGTTGTAGAGAGCCATAAGGTCTCCCCTCAGCCTCCTCTTCTCCAGGCTAAACAACCCCAGTTCCCTCAGCTGCTCAACTGAGGTTGTTTGCCTTCAACTTACTTGATCCGCATTTCAAAAATAAAACATATGTATATGTAAAAAAGTGTCTTTAAAATGCCAGATTTGTATCAAGAAGATAGTGATTTAATGATTTGTTTCTTGTGACCAATAAAATCCATTTTTCCGTCTTGCTAAAGCTCAAAACAATACTAAAGTAGGAAGTGAAAGTATTACAGGAATAGAGAAAATAAGTGGATTTCCCCTTGTGCTGAGAGCAAAACACAGTGTTTCTTGGCATTCTGATTATTTACAGATACCAAGGATTTTGAAAAGCTTCAAAATTTGGATTATCATGAGTTTTTAATCAAAATCTATCCAATGGAAATAAAGTAAGAGCATTCCATACTCTAAGTCCCTTCATGACATACTTTATAAAAACAGTAATATAAGTGGCATTTTCAAATGACTAAGTTCTCTTCTTCAAGAGTAGCATTAAATGAAAATCCAGGTCCTAACTGTTGATATTTTTCATAGCAAATAATCCAATACTTGTTATACAGAAGATCATTTCAATTTCAGTAAAATACAGTTTGTACAATTGTGCCATACGCAGAGAAGAACACTGACGTTATGCAATTCACCCAAATGTTAATCACTTTGTGAAAACAGTTTATTTAATTTGAATAATATCACAGTTCTGATAACTGCCATACCACCAATCATTAATCAGCACCAAACAGTGGTCATGTCTCAAGCTGAGAGCATAGAGATGAGTCTGAAGTCAGGTTCAGTGCCGCCTTATGCAAAAAAAAGGAAAACAATTTACACTGTGCAGCCATTGTGCATTTCAGTGTCTGTTCTGTCAAGTAAAAACAACTGTTTCATATTTGTCATGAGTGTCTCGTAGTAGAACATTCTTTGCTATAGCTGCAAATATTAGTTATTCTGCTTTTAATTGAGAGTATCATTAAAGGAAGTTTATATTCCATAAGCCTTAGTCTACCATTCTCACTTCTAACCACAGCAACTAATAATTTTATGGTATTAGCCCTCAGCAGTACCCTATAATGTCCTACTATTCATAAGCAAGCCATGCAAAGTTGTAAAACTATAAACATATTGTGACTTAGTGACAATTTCAACATTCCCATTTTTGGTATTGATGTGCCATGAGGCTGTGAACAAGCCACATCTGTAATTCTGCCATGGTCTACCTATCTGTAAACAGACAGTCCTACAGTTATAGCATCAAAGCATACACATAAATCTATAGCTATATGCAGCACCAGAACTACAAAAAAAAAAAAAAAAGCAACAAAGACAAAATTTTGCTTTAGCCTGGAGAAGAGAAGGCTTGGGGGAGGGCACACACCTAATAGCAGCCCTCCAGTACCTACCAGGAAGTCATCGAGAAGACTGATTTAGGCTCCTCACATCAGCACACAGCAGGAAGGCAGCAGGCATAAGTTAAAACAAGAGCAGCCAGAGGCAATGGAAGAGTTGATCTATTTAGAATCTTTCAACAATATTGTCCTAACAATTTTTAGTGAACACTGCATCAGCTACAGTATTCTGACATAACCTTAACTGGAGTTAAATGAAGAGACCCTCATATTGTTACAAACTAAAGACAGAATACAGTTTTATTGTTTGCTGGTTTTGTTTAGATTGCTTAATATAAGATTAAAGGAGCTGCATATGCCTGTAATGACCATGCCATCAATTGATACCAAATCACACTGATGTTAGGAATTTGTCTGCTTGAATATATATTAAAAAAATGAAAATATTTTAAATAGGATTTTTAAGTCATACTTTCAAAGAACTACTACTGGAGTTTTTATTTAAAACTTTTTATTTTCATTTAAGAAAAACAAAGTGAAACACTGAAGCTCTTAGATGCAAAATGCTACTACATTGTTTACAACCATTTGAAAGTACAGTTTATCATGAAGTATCTGTAAATTTCAAAAAAAACCCCACTGCTGAATAATTTTGTTTTTCAATTGTGAAAGCCTGAATGTATAGCCTAAACAGCAGTATTCCACTATGTTAAAGAAAAAGACGACACCTTGACACCTGTGATTATGTTAGACAGAATGGAATATAAATCATACCAGACTCATTTGCCTGAAAGTGACAAAAATATAGAACATTGCAACTGCTTTCAGGAAATAAAAAAAAAAAAAAACACCACTGTAATTCACAAAGAGAAATGCAGGGGAACCCAGTAATTTCCATGGAAAAAAGAAAAAAAGCTTCTCCTCTTAGTCACTGTACAGCATTCAATTTGCTGCAAAGCAGACATGTTTTTGTTCTTGAACTTCCATACATTGCTTAAGCTTCTTAAGGAGTAAAAATGACGTTTTCTTCCTTCTTCCATTCCCCAACCACAGATAACTTTCCCGACCTTCTCCTCTTCTTCCACATCATCTCACTGACAAGCCCCCAAATAAGACACACATACAGAGAAACATAGAGCTAAATTGTTACTAAGTTCCCAAGTATCAGAGATGCACCTTTGTACATCTGACCACTAAAAGACAGGACCAAAAATTTCATACACCCTTGACATTACTAACAGACAAGAGAAATCATAACAATTATACATAATGTCTCCAAATTTAAAGAAACACTGTTTGCCTAAAATCAGAGAGAGCATGACAGGGGAGAACATTCTCTGCATGAAAGCATAAGACTCGCAATTGCAAGTTGAGGGAATAAAAAGCAGATAACCAAATCACTACCCATTAAAGATACAGAAACTACCCAGAGGCTGAAAGAGACCACAGAGTATCCAATCCCAAATTACAAACATGCACAAGGCAGAAAAAGCATGCAGAAGAGCCAAAAAATCTGTAAAGGTTTTGTAAATAGCTGAAGTTTTCTTACTTGTCTGCAAAGAGTTGAGTCTTGCCCATTACTAAGTAAAAGAGGCAAACATGGGAAACTCACCAACTTCTCTAAAAGAACAGCTATTTTAGCTCCCCAAAAAAAGCTAAGTCTGGAGGCTATAACCCATTAAGCAGGAAAGTCAGCACACAAGACCCAACATTCCACCCTATCATCCACAGGAAGCAAGTCCATTGTTACAGCAATTTAAAAACAGCATTATATCAAACTATGTATTTTGTGTTAATGCAATATTCATTATATGCAGTTGTCAGGTGTAACTGGAAGTTACAGCTGGAGATCAAAATGTACTAACAGTTCCAGTACCACTGAATATATTTTAAGAAAAGCAAAACCAAAACCCCACTATGTGTCACATGTTAACACTTGACAGAGTTTCAAAAGCCAAAGAGAAACTTCTTTATATTATGTTTACCCTGTTTAAGAAAAAAGATACTGTATGTCAAACTTCACAACAAAACTGATGAAGATTAACACTTTCATATACTTTTGATAAAAAAACAAGGGACACTTCAAGGTGAAGAGAAGGCAACAAAAATAAAGGAATCTTTTGTTTAAATGTGGAGAAAGTAATAGAAACCAACCCAATCAATATAAGTAATGTAAGTTTTGTTTTTAAAATGACATCAATACTTAGAAGTTAAACATATCTGATGCTATAGAATATGGCAGTTAAAGAACAGAGTAAGACAAGGTTAAGAATGAAAATGTTGCAGTAAAAACTTAACAGCACAATTACACAATGTTTATCCCTACCAGAATTCAAGAGCTGACGGAACTGTAGGAAGTGCAGATTTCCAAACACCAAAATTTCTAGAGAAACTTGGTATGAAAGTTAAACTATATTAAGAAAGCAATAACCATTTTCACTGCTTAATGAGAGTCCGAGTATTAAGGATGCTCCCAGCAGTCTGTAGAGTTCAGTCCATTGTTTAAAACTTCCTTTAGAAATTTTATCACTCACTCGCACCTACCAACTGTTCAAAATAGAATAGTTACAATTAACAAATTACCTGTTTCAGTTTTACTGGAGAAACCTGCTGCCTGTTTGATCGCTGCTGCTGTTAATGCTAACCCTCGGCTCCTCCTCAGACCGTGCTGCAGCACAGCTTCAAACTGAGCACACAAACAAGTGACTCTGCAACAGAGTTTTTAAAGAAATCGTGTGAAAAGAACAATCAATTATGTTTCTATAGAGCAGGTTTATTCCAAATCTCTGAAGAGAGAATGCAAAGGTGAACCATTACCTTTTATGTAGTGAAAGACCCCTTGTATGCACTAATCTCATTATTTGCAAACAGTGTGATCTACTTATACCCAGTCTCATCATGACTATCCAAAACTGGGGCACAAATTACATTCAGAAGAATTTACAATTAATCTGAGAAACCATCCTCACTTGCTATAGTGGTTCTTAGTCATGTTATTTCAGCTTCAGATTACCTACTTTTCATGTAATGCAATTACATTTTCATAAATATAGTTTGTACTACACATGCAATGAATGATTTTCTGAAAATATGCTATAACTTCCTATACAATTAATAGACAATTTTGCTAATTTGCATTATTACACTATAATTCAAGCCTAGGAAAACAATTAAACATACATTTTAATGTCCTTCAGAAATCCTAGGCATAGGAAAATAAGAGATTTTTCTGGAGATGTGTTGAATCTTCATTTTTTGATGTTGTTCTCTATAATACTATTTATAAATTTCCTGATTTTTTTTTTTTAAACATAACCCAGTTAAATCAATTTTCACACCAAACCAGCAAAGTTTTAAAATTCAGCCTGCCAAAGAAAGGAATATTATTGTAATCTACAGGGAACAGTAAGGCTTAACGTATAACAGACCTGAATGCAAACTGTTTGTTTTAAATGTTATTGTCTCTAAGTTTTATTCTTGCCATTAAATAAACAATAGTTAAAACTTAAGCTTTGAGAAAGTTGTCACCTGCCTGCCAAAGCTTATTAGTAAAAGGAAGGACAGGTACTTCAACTGAGTTCAAGCAAATAAATAAAAACAGTTGACGAAGTGGCTCAGGACTCTGCCCCGGCATTCAAGAAATAAGAGTTCTAGTCAGGGTCACATAAAAGCACAAGATCTCAGGAGGAGCACTGATTGAAAAAGGGGTTTATTAACCATAATTATCCTGGACAGAAGAACTTTTAGCACATAATGCTTTCCAGTACATCTATGTTAGGAAAATTTTACTTTGTTAGGAAAACCTTACTAATAGAGCAGAATATAATTCAAACAATACTCAAGATGGTTGTGGAGCAGCTGTGATTAATTTTTCCCCAAAAGACTGCTGCTGTTAAAAATGGAAATTCCAGCAGATACATGACCCCCCAGGGGGGCGGAAATCTACTTGACTCTTTCAGTTCAGAAAAAGCGGAACGGAAACTAGGTTCTGTAAAAGAGCTCATATTATTAAAAATCCATGTGCACTGAGAATTAAAGCAAGAAAACTGTGCAGCATTTTACAGGAAAATTTAGCCACTAGTAAAACAAAATAAAATTAAAAAAAAAAAAGAATCGGGTATTCTACAATATACATAGTGTATTTACTAGATAGCACCACAAGTGCATGTTAAATAAACAAATACAGAAAAAAACTGAGAAGTCTAGTGTACATAGACATAGTAGAACTCTGAACAATTATAATCTCAAAGACAAAAAAAACCCACTGGGAGAACAAAACTTGGAGAGTCATGGATTTTACTGGATTTTCTAAATTCCCAGACTATCCTCATTTTCAAAATTATCTCACAATATTTCACATAGCA